GTCTCTCTCCGTTTGGTGTCTTGCAAACCACTAAGCAATCAGGCGCTTCTTTTTCGAACTGGGGGTTGCACGCTCCTCATCTCCCCCCTTCAACAACGTGCAGGCCACTGTTCGAATCGACCGTTGAAATCAAGCTCTGAAAGCAAAGGCGTGCACTCTCGGAGACATCTGCTTTTGGGACGAGGAGCGGATGTTCAGAAAGCCTCGAAGGGAAGTCAGCAATGTTTGCCTCAGTCGGGACTCGAGCAAACCAAGCACATGAGTGCATGCTTGCTTCCTTCTCAAGATGAAACTTCATGATCACTTCACCGCAAGGCCCGATGGCAGTTCCTCTAATTAACGCATATCTCACACTGTCATTGTCTCCGAACCATGTGGTCAGGTTGCCCGCCAGATGGTCACCCCAATAAGAAAGAGCATGTACTGCAGCTACCAACTCAAGCTCATAAATAATTGACTGTTTTGTTTGGCAACCGAACGTCTTGCACATTTCTTCATCGAGAGGAAAACCAAACCATTGTATACAGGTTCCAGATTGGTCAACCAAAACTCCACCTACGCCACCAGTTTTCTCTTCCATGTTGTATGCAGCATCGGTGTAGATGAACCACTGCAGGAGTTCCTGGTCCGAGATCTGGACAGGGTGTCCTGCTTCAAGCCTTGTCTTCATGGCCAGTAGAGCATGTTTGGTGCTCTCGTCCAAAGTCCTCTGGCGCGAGTAGGCATGCTCAAGCAGCTTCTTTAGGAGTATCTTTCCAAGCCTGCCATGTAGGAAGCTGTCAGCAAAGCCCAAGCGCCCCTTCAGCACGAGTGTCTCATGTTTTGACAGCTGTCCATCAAGCAAAACCTCAGAGATCCTAGAAACAAGATCAAGCCTTCTCTGCTCGGTGTTGTAGATTTGGACAATCCTTTGCTCTGATCCGCTCAAATTAAATTCCACTCCAAGTGCCTTGCAGGTGGTCTCAAAAAGTGTTGCCTTCTTTCCATCACGAGCAAATTCCCAACCAGTCAGCATAAACAAGACCTCCATAGCCAGGTTTGCTGACTTGCAACTCTCAGGTTTGGATAACAACACGAAATCGTCGTAAAAGTTCGTGTTGAGGACATACAAACCTCGAGCAGCAATACTGTGAATGAGTCTCGCCAGTCGAAGGAAGGAATAAACCGAGTGCGTGGCCCCAAAAGGCAGGGTCAGCAGTTGGTAGATCTCGGGTTTCCCCTCTTCACAGTTGTAGATGCTGAAAAAGGCATACTTTAGGTGCTGGCTCTGTATGGGCACCTGTCTGTAGGCACTCTTGAGATCAAAGGTCTTGGCCATAAGCCGGCTGTCGCGCTCCTTCGCACTGCAAGCTTGAAAATATCTTCGAATGACCGCTCCCAGCGTGTCGATCATGTGCAAGTCAATTTTGGAATGAATCGTGCACGAATCATTGATGCCACTGATGGAAAAATCATCGATCATTCGAACTTTGTTTGATTGCACAAGCGGGAACCTGCGAGAAATGACTGCCCCATCTGGTAGGGCATCCAGTTCAAAAGGTCCCCTAGCCCATTGCTTTTCAAGCTCAGCCCTAGTCTCAGCCAATACTTGCTGATCCAAAGCTTCATCACCGCAGCTACAAGTCATCGCAAGAATGGCCTGATTCCTGCGCTTTGCCCCACCTTCCAATTGATCGAGGGTCATCAAGCACGGTTTGAACTGTTGTTCAAAAATGCAACAACTCTCAATGCGGCCCGCCAAAGTGGAGCCCTCACGCAGAATGTTTAATGCAGCTTTGTCTTCATATTGTATACTATCCAAAATCTCATCCGTCAGCAGCAAGCGCTTCGACAAGGTGCTGTGCCTAACATGTTCAGGCCTGGACGCCCTGTCCAGGCTTTCCGCAGCATCAAGTTCTTTTGCCCTCTTCAACCAGTGCTTCGTCCAATCCGATCTATATTTGGACATCTGCTCATCATTCCAAGCCAAATTTCTGTCAATGGCAATTTGAAGATCTTCCGGAATGCTCATGTCGGTCAAGGCTGGATGACCAGCTGTCACAGCCTTTTTGATGAACTTTTCCGGCTCCCACGGCAAGCCAAAAACAGCTCGAAAAGGGTAGGAACTAAGATCGGCACCAGTTTCAGATTTTTTAGCTGTCTCAGATTCCTCGATCCCCCCTTTCAAAGAATCGGAGGCAGCAAAAAGGCGAAGCAACCGTGCATATTTGGGGATGAAAAGAGGTTGAAGCTCAGGGACATGAGGTGCAAATCAGTTTGAACCTTGCCGAGAACAGGGACTGGGACTTGGGACTTATCCTGAAGGACCGCGATAACCACTGCATCGAAATCTGGAACCAAAGGCGGTATTTTCTTTCGAAATGGCTGCAGACCAACGCTAATTTGAGCCTGCTGTGCATGCAACAACGGATGCTTTCGGATATCATTCAAGGTCTGGGGCAACAAGTGCAGTCCTTGGGAAGCAGCTTTCTGCAAGATCACTTGAACTGTAGCCAGACACAAGGGACGAGTGTACTGGCTCTCTAGGCTGGTTGCCCAGACACGCTTTCCTTCATGATCATGAGCAAACCTCCAGGGTGCGTGAGAGTGCTTCCTGTCGCACTCAATTGACAACTCAGTCACTTCAGGGAAGTTTGCAATGAATCTTGTCCACTTGTCTCTGGAACCACCATACATGCACACTTGAAAATCAGCACAATAAAGTTCAACAGTCTTCCACAATTGCAAGAAATATGTGGTGCACCAAAAATATGAATTCTTTGGGTTCTCCATCGTTGCCAAAATTCCACGTTTCGTGGCCTCAGCGAAGATGCGGCATGCAAAAGAAAACAACTTGTTTGCTATGGTGACCCTGAGCAAATCACGTCCGGTCAAGTCCGGGAAACCATTCGGATGTTCATTACTGCGCAGGGGAGGCGGATCATTGGCTGACACCTGAATGTCCCGTGCACGGCTCGCAGTACCGCACACAGGTGCTAGATGCACCCAAATGAGTAGCCCCGAATCAAGCCAAGCATCAACAAGCGAACTGTCAGCTTCACGCTAGCCTAATGATGCTAGAAAAACAACCGTGCTTCTGTGTCTTGTCGACCGCAATGCTGTTGTAGAGTCCTTGTTGCTTAGCAACCGAACAAAGCACTGCTGAACCTGCAAACAATTCCAGCATCCACAACTGTCCCACATGCATGCCTTGCCAGGCACGTGGGACGAGTGTCATCCTAACTCACCGTCCATGCTCATGCAGCGGGTGAGCCTGTTGGCATTTTGGCTCGGCGCATACATGAAGCCCTCTTCGACACTTTTCACCAGCTTTCACGTTCTTCTCTGGACAGCCCTGTGTCGTATTGTACCCAAAGCAAATCGGCTCTCCTTTTGGCGTCTTGTGCCATTTGCCATGAAGATCACGCGGCATAGGCGGATTGCCCTTTCCACCCTTGCCTGAACCCTTCTTGCCCTTTCCTTTTCCTTTCGTATTGCGATCATGCCATGTTGACTCATAGGGTCCAGTGTTGCGACGCCCGGAATCGCTCTGCGTCGACCCATGCCTTGCTAAAGGTGCCAAATACAATGTAATGTATGGGTCTGATCTCAAAGCCAAAAGAGCATCACCTAATGGATAACCTCCAAGCTGGTCCTGCCTGATGCTGTTCACCGTACTGCCTAATCTTGCCCAAGCCGCTCTGTCACATTGTAGTAGTTGTGCCACACTTGGTCGGCTGTATCCAGGCGGTGCATCACGATGCAGGGCCTCGAACAGGAATGTTGCCCATTCTGTGTGTTGAGCGTGTGACATCAACTTCGCAAACTGAAGAGCGATGCCACGGCGGACAAGGGCATTGTGAAGCTTTATCTCACTATCAGTAGCACTTGTCAATTGGTCTTGATTTCTAAGGACCAAAGATCCCTTTTCCAAACTCAATTCACGACTCTGCTTTGCACCTTGGACTTCCAAAGTCCTGCTAACACATGTGCTCGGCTCCAAGTACACCACGATGTTCTTTTCATACATGGAACAAGCTTTGTCCAGAAGCAAATGCGATGGCTCAAACTCACCAGAGATGTTCACACCTAACAAAGCCGTCTTTATTGCCTGCATTCTTGAAGCTCTTTCTGCAAAGGCTATTTTCCTGGGAACCGAATCGTCAGTCTGTTCAATGCTTTGGCGTAGAGACGCCACCAGGAAGGTCTGAGCTTCGAACGCTAGCCTCTTGACCGTTGAGGTCTCCAACAACGATGGGGCCCTTCCCAATGCTGTCTGCAAGAATCCTGTGATGTCGTCATTGGCCAATGGTTGATTCGGTTGGCCTACCGCAAATGCTAATCGACTGAGAGTATCCACTCCGCTTGCTTTTATGGAATCCAGCACTGTCTGTGAGATCCCACTCTCCAGCAGCCGTGCATCAAAATGAGCGGTGCTGTCAACGACAGTTGCCATGCTTCGGTTCTATGAAACTAGAAAGAAAAGGTAGATAGGCCTGAGAGCTCCTAACAAAGAAGGTACAACATCACCAATCCAGAGAATAAAAGTCTGAGGCTCGCACAGTTGTTTGTGTTGTCTTGTTGTGCTCCTTTGAGCTCATGAATGAAAACTTTGTTCTAGTTACAATTCTGCTCCTTTGAGCCTGCACCGCTTTCGGCAAACAGTTCTTGAGCACTTAGTCTCCGCTGAGCAGCTTTCTGCAAACAATCTTTGGCCACTCCGGCAAATATTACTGCTTTGACTCCTTAGAGTGAAGGCTCTTTGCATATTTCTTTTCAGCGCGAGGCACTCTTCGTGCAGCGTCCTTGCTCTTAGAGCACACTTGCCTCTTCCCCTTTGGGGCTACATGGCCTGTGCTAGATTTGAGAACCAGGAGAAACAGTCTTACTAGTTTAGGTGTTAAGAAGGCTTCAAAGCGGTAAAACACACAAGACAGCACAGCTGCTGAGAATTTCGCTTGCATGTTTCTCAGAGACGTTGTCACGTCAACCCATTTGCAAGCCCTGAAACAGGGGCCGTCCAAACGTCGACGTTTGGACGGCCCCTTTTCTCAACCCCGATTCCTTATGGCAAGATTTAATGCAGTGCACTAAGTTTGAAAAGCAGCTGGATCGTTTATCTAGCAAGCGTTAAAGAAAACTAGAATGTTACCTTGCACTTCTCCTGGCTTTCCGAACTCTCTCTAAAGCTTTGTCCAGGGCTTCAACTGCGTCCTCACGACTACGCACTCGCCCTGGATCGTTTGGGAAGCACCTCAAACACTTTGGATACCTGAAGTTCAAGGTACGGCACAATTCCTGAAAATTCGCAGTTATCTTCATTTTGCATACAGTCACTTGCTGTTCATTTCGGACTGCATGCACACGAAAGCTTTTTACATGCTTATAAAAGGTCAACCCTTCAGGTACTGCTTCAGTGTATGCAGGACGTGTTTCAAAAGTCTCAGCCAGCGGCTCATCGCTGCTTGTGCTGCTCGACTCACTGTCACTGCCGGACGAACTGTCAATCTCGATCAAACCAAGTTGAACAATGCTTTCTGGAAACAAGCTCAAGCTGTTTGCTGAGGTAGCAACGTCTGCAGCATTGTTCATCTCTTCCTTGATGCTAAGTTGGTCTTCGTGGTCCTGAACACCCTCTACAGCATCCTGAACAGGGTCGGCTTCTGCCTGAACACGCTCAACTGGCAACACAGGTGTCCGTGCTGCACAACCATGAATTCCAAAACCAGGTCCAGGTGTACCTGCTGCCGGCGTGACACCTGCAATGTTGCCCCTGTCAGCGATTTCCTCAAGGCCCATGCCAATCCTGATCAATCCAAGTAGCATCATCAATTTCCGAATTGGCCTGGCTTGCAAATGACGAGCATACACTACTTCTGAACCACTTACAGCACTGCAATGATGCCCAAGCACTGACCGAACTTCCTTATCCATTCCAGATCTCGCACACCAATCCAATAGGGTAGCCTTCATGGAATGGGAGCGAAAGGATTCCCAGTTTGAAGTTCCCTTCAGAAGACCTCGTAACCAGGCTGCAGCTTCGGACGTGGTCAAGGGCCGTGCGCAGAATCCACCACCGGATCTAGGTGCAGGAAGAAGAGGACCCAGCGGTACCTTGTGAATATTTAGCCCAACCTGTTGGTAAAGATCCAGGAAAGTCTGCAGCCAGTTTTCGTTTGTCACTCCATCCCAAGGAACAACAAAGGGCAGGTATTGCTCTTTCTTTTCACCGACAGCAGAAGTCTTATGCTCAGTTGTGTACAAAACCAAACATCCATTCCTCTTGCTCTCAATCTCAACATGATGAATGAAGCGTAGATCACTCCAGCGTGCTCGAGCATATGTACACAAAAGCATGCAACCTGCCCCAACCTTGTCCACAATGCTATCGGCACCCAACAACACCGAATGAAGACGCCTCAAATGTTCAAGCTCCATAGGAGGGGCCTGATGAGTGGGCCCCTTCTCACGTTTTTCTATGGCTGCAAAACCTTGCAGTCTCCTAGATTCCAGGATGTCGTCGGCACCTCGCAATGCAATCGTAAACTTTGTGAACCTCACAGTCTCAAGAAAAGTGGCAGGTCCGGTGTACCCACGTGCATCACGGATTCTGGAGTCTCTCAAGTGCCTGAAGTAGTTCCAAACGTCTGGCTCATGCAGCGGTATTGCATCAACACTGAAACCTCTCTCCAAGTAATGGTCTCTGTGCCAAAGAATGAAACGTTTCAAACTTCCTGCACGCTTGAGCAAAGTAGAATAACTCTTTGTACCAAAACAAGCCTTGAGGGTTTCGTTCGCCAACTCTCCAGTGGGATCGCTCCTGAGATCTTCACAAACCTGTTGGCCAATGGCAGATGCACTCCAGTTCATGGAAAGGATATCAAGCCACTTTGCACAAGCCAAATCTGTTTGCATTCGTTTGTTTTCAAAGTAGTCCAAGTCCTGAATGTCCTTCACTGCACTCAGAAAAGCGGCATCTGCACAAGCTTCAACTTCTCCGCTGACCGAGATTTGATTTCTATCTTCATTCTTAGTTGCAGGCAACTCCAAGGCTATACCATGAACTTGTGGTAAGTTGAGGCCCAGACTGTTGTGAAAGATTCCCTGCATTGAAGGTTGTTCCCACGGAAGCTTCATGGCAGGGTCCAAAGCTCTGTGACGTTCAAAGGCATGATTCACAGTGAGTGCCCAATCTGTTTTGTCAACAATGCATGCATTCGTACCTGTATTGGGATCACAACTCTCCTGAGCAGGTTGATCGATGAACTCGACTCCATCGTCATGAGCCTCATCCAGCAGGTCGGCATCAAAACCTGAATCCGGCGATTGATGGCGTGCCAGGTCCTGAGACATGTTGCCAGCTAAACCTGAAGCAATCGAGTTCAAATGCTCAATGTCTTGCTGAAAGGAAAAATCAAAATCTTCCAAATGCAACGGATCAATCTCAGGCAGTACTTCATCGTCCTCTAAATCTTCAACTTCAATCAAATCCATGGCACACCCCCCGCTCTGCTGTTCAGAGCATCGACCGTTCGGTCAGCGGAGCCCGCCACACCCTCCCTTGAAACAAAATGTCACGAAGGAAAAACATTTTTCAAGACACCCGAAACATCACGTTTCTAAAACGAAATGGAGACAACACGATCTTCTTCGAAGAGCTTAGTC